AACTACAATGTCTGCTTTCATACGTCTGTAAAGTAATCTATCAAGGTATAATGCAGGTAAGTAAAGGGGTCAGGGTTTATATTAAAGTGAGTTGTAAATGAAAGGGAGAAGAAATGTTTTCCTCTCTGAGAGTCTGGAGCCGCCCACCATTCTTATGATTGGTAACCTGTCTCTCCTCAAAGAGACAGACTAAAGGGTGCGGTATTGTGGGAACGGTTAGGGGAATGGGTGAGGCCTGAGATCTTGGCAGACAATAAGTCAAGGGAGACCAACCACGAGTGTAGTGGCTCGGGAACAACTCCAGATCTGATCCCGATCATCCCGGCCCTGCCTGAGACCACATCCGCTGTCTCCTGTTCAGCTGGGAAGCAATGAGCAGGGATCTGGGAAGATTTATTCAAGAAATTCCAGCTCAGCTCCTGTGAGCAGCTGACAAAGAAACAAGGAAAAAATACTAAATATGACACACTCTACATGTCATATAGGTGTTAGTCCAGAGTGTTTGAATGGTTTGAGTTTCAGTTTAGAGTTCGAGACATCGGGGAGTTTATGTTTAACCAATGGGGGAGTTTGCAGGTTGTTTATTTGACGCCAGTTTTTCCTTTTAAGCAGAGTTTCAGTTAGTGAGCAAGAAGCTGTTACCTCCGATATCATGTTTCTGTTTGAGTGTATCATACAGAATGAGTGAGCTGTGGTCAAATATATCTGAAAGTTGAGGATTGTGACAGATTGGAGTGAGTTTATTTGAGGATGTAAGGAGGACGTATTGTTCTATATCCAGCCGGTGTTGGGATTGTTGAGTTTCTTGTATGTACTCTAGATGGTTTGCTAGGTAGAGTCTGAGATTTAAAGTGTCTAGGCCTCAACGGTTTCTTGGTTTCTTGAAGGGTAGATTATTTTATTTGTATTTTCTTGTGTTTCAAATAGAATTTATTTATGATACAATCTGTTTAATCAAAGTGTAGTTGGTTGGACTCATCGAGAGAAGATGGTTTATTTTAGGCACTATAGTCATCTTTATTCTTGATTCTTCCAAGATATGTAGGACCAACATGTATGGAAATATGGTACACACATGTATCATGACCCAACAAGCCAAAAAGCCTCTTGGACCAGTACCTCAAACCCAACAGGAAGTCAGCCATTTTAAATTTCATGGTCATTTTCTATGATTTTTTTGCTTTGTATTTGAACAAACTCCTCTGAGGGAATTTTAAAGACATTAACAATTAAAAGTTCTACTTATTAGTGACATTGAACCCGCGGGGTGGCGTCGGATTTTGACTATTTGCCATGAAAGTTGTTATAAATTAAGTGTAAATGGTTCAATCTGCAGTCCCACCATGAACACGTCGACACGCCAATATTCAGTCACTATAGATAGCGCCACCTACTGGCAGTAGGGAGTAAGCCTTGTGTGGTGATTATGATCTAATTTACATTACATGTTCATGTTGTGGTCCACAGCACAATAAATAAATATACAAACAAGTAAAAAAAGGATAAACTCTCATAAAACGACTTTGGCTCTTAAGATACTAAAACTAGCGATATTATATATAATATATTATTTAAAGTTTGAGCTATAAATTATTGTTTTGAGAAAGTTATTTTTCTCACTCTAATTTTATTGTACTTTTTTTAATCACATTGGCACAAATGAGCTTCCATAAAACTCCATTTAAAGCCAAAGAAGAAGAAGAAGTAGAAAAAAGACAAACAAGAAGTAGAAGAAGAATGTTTGGGATGTCGTCTCGTGACGTCACGCCGCGGTGTGTTGTGGGAGATCAGCCGTACTTCTTGTTGTCGTGCATTATTGATTATCCGCGGTTAATTATGAGTTGATCCGCGTTATTTATTGATACCAGTGGTTATTATTGATTAATCCGCGGTTTTTATTGATTACCAGCGTGTGTATTATGATTATCCGCGGTTATTATTGATTATCAGTTGGTTAATTATTGATTAACCAGTGGTTATTTATTATTATCCGCGGTTTATTAGTTACAGTGCCCTCTCACTTATTGATATCCGGTATTATTGATTACCAGTGGTTATTATTGATTATCAGCGGTTATCGATGGGGGGCATTAACTGCTGTGTGAAGAGCTGCCGCCGTCGCTCTCTCGACCACCGCGGGAGGAGGATCCCCACCGGGCTGAGCTTCCACTGTTTCCCCGACTGGAGGAGGGACGAAGGCGCGCAGATATCCGAGCTGACGAGGCGGAGGAGGGCGGCCTGGGTGTCTGCTGTGGGCCGGAACAACCTCACCTTCAGCAGCATCCCCACCTCGGCCAGAGTGTGCTCCCGACACTTCCACTCAGGTGAGTTTTACCTGGTCTGTTAAAATCCCCGTTTTCCCTCTGGGGTTTGGTTCAGCTTTAACACTCACTGTAGTTTGTGCTGCTGTTGGTTTGCTGACTAACAGTATGTCCTCCACATTTAGATTAAATATGAGAGAAACCTCTGGGTGTTGAGTGTGTTTGTCCACAGTAAAGATTAAACTCCTCCTGCAGCCCACTGAGGAACCACAGCAGTGAATTATTCACAGGCAGCAGAACTCCATTCAGATTTCCTCCGATTTAAGGAAGAGTTCACCAGCTCCTCCGTCAAATCTCCAGTGTAACATTAATATAACATCTATAGGTGTGTTTAATCAGCCGACAATAAGAATCATTGTGTGTTTGTTACCTTACCATGAGACATTTGTTGGTTTAGTGTTAAAAAACAAACATAAATCACAATAAATTACAGATAATTGAGTCTTCATCAGTCGATCAGCAGGTTGTGGTTTATTCTGATGGTCTGATAAAAGAAGACGTCACTGTGTGTCTGCAGGTAAACCAGCTAATGAATTACTGCAGTCGGATCCAGATTGGGTCCCGTCACTGCATTTGGGTCCCAGCGAAGAGAACGGCGGACGCACCGAGCGTCCCCTCCTGACGGAGCAGGCGAAGAAACAAAGACTGACGGCGAGGAAGAGACCGTCTCTCTCGTCCAAACGTCCTCCGACAGAATCCAAAGCAGCAGCAGGACGAAAGAAAGCAGGAGGAAAAAGAAAAAGA